AGTTGTATACTTGTATAATTTTCATTTAAAGTCACATTTTTAGTTACATTATCATATTAGTTGCATTTTCATATTAAAGTCACATTTTAGTTACATATTTATATTAGTTACATTTTCATATTAAACTCACAATTAAATATTAAAGTCACATTTTAGTTACATTTAATATTAGTTGCATTTTAATATTGAACTCACAATTTAACATTAAACTACATTTTAGTTGCATTTAAATATTAGTTACATTTTATTTGTACTCACAATTCAATATTTGTTAGCATTTTAATATTTTTTACATTTTAATTAAGATAGTGTGGTAGACATTCTATAGACATGGACAACCTCCAACACAACAGAAGGAATGAGATTGCGAAAGGACGTCCTACTTCGGGAGGCAAAGGTAAAAGACATGTCGGATCTTTTTCTCAAAGTCAAGATGATTTTGAAAAGACTTACAACCGAAGGGATGCAATGTCCGAAGAGCACCTGGCTCAACTATTGGCCCAAGGGCATGGCCGGTTTTATCAACAAGAAGACATTCTCGAGATTAACGAAGAGCTCGAGGATGATAATGAGGAGGAGGAGCCAGCGACAACTAATGAGGAACAACGCTACGAGGAAACCCCCGACAAGGAGGGACAATGCGCCGGTTCATCCCAACCTGGTAAAAAAGACAAATCTCTTATTATGGAAAATAATTTTGATAAGGTCAAGAACCGGGAAGATGGGAAGTGGTACGCAACTTGCAAACATTGTAAGAAAGTTTTGAGTTTCAATGGGATACGGCGGCTGCCATAGGCATTTGAAGGATGGCACCCTACGAAGTGGGCGAACATCAAATGCAAGAGGACGCAAACACAAATATCGAGATTTGGAAATAATCAACCCTTTGATAATTTCATTTATGATGATATAATAAGTGAAGAAAATTTGGCTTTTAATTTTTTTTGAAAGTCTTGCTTTAAAAACTTATGCTCAAGATTCTTTAAATCTTCAATTTAGAAACTATTCTCACAAAATCATTAAAAAAGAAGTTACAAGGCAATATGTTTTGGAAAAGGATAAATTAAAAGTGTTATTCGCAAACTTTGATGGGCGCGTTAGTATTTGTAGTGATATATGAGATGATACTTATCATCACTTGTATTATTTGAGTGTGACTGCACATTATATTGATGATAATTAGGACATGCATAAACATGTTATCGCTTTTCAAGAATTTAATGACCGAGACACCGGTGATAATATTTATATTATCGTTGAACATATTTTAACTGAATATAATTTGATTGATAAGGTGTTTGCTATTGGTTTAGATAATGCTAGTAATAGTACTGTTGCTATTCCCAAATTACGTGAATTGTGTGGCCCTTCTACTTTGATGGGTAGATTTTTTTTGTCAGCGTTGTGCATGTCATATTCTGAGATTATGTGTAAAAGACGGTTTAACCGTGTTAGGAAATTTGATGGAGATCGTGAGGGGGGGGGGGGGGGGGTATTAGAGTTATTTGGGGTAGTAATCAACTTAAAAAACAATGACGTGAATATTTGAGAGTTAGACGTGTTAAATATTGTGCTTTACTTTGTCTATTCGTTGGAATAGTACTTATAACTTAATTGATGTATTTATTAGATTTAAAGATTATTTTCCTTCTTTTTTAAAAGAAGCTGCTAAATATGTTATAGAACCGGTAAATCGACACTATGGGAAAAAATTGCCAAGTTTTGGTATTTTTTTATAACGCAACTCAAACTTTTAGTCATGTTTACAAACCTAAGGCAAACCAATTTTTTGTTGAAGCTGTTAATCTCGCCGGTACTTTTTCTGAATTTTCAACTACCCATTACGTTCAATATTTTTGTGATTTCATGAAAGATTTTTTTAAAAAAAAATATTATATCTTAATTTCGCCTGTATATGGTATTGCCTTTGTTCTTGATCCTAAAGAGCAATAGAACGAGGTTAATAACTTATTTCATCAATTATTTTATGAGTTTCATGCACATTATGATAACACACCCCTCCCCCAAAACCAACAGTTCATCTAAAGGAAAATCATTTTTCAAATCAACATTTGGTTATCTCATGAAAAAAATAAATCAACTCCCGTTGTTGCACAAAGCTTGATTAACGAGTGTTGAGATTTATTCCTTCAATCCGGGGGCCCAACACGTTACCCAAGGATTTCGAGTGGAAGAGTGTATGAATATGTAAAGTGCAAGCCAGTAAGATGGGCTAAAGTATGTGTGCAGCAGTGGGTCATGTTGAGGTTTATTCCTTCAATCTGGGGGCCCAACACGTAACCCAAGGATTTCGAGTGGAAGAGTGTATGAATATGTAAAGTGCAAGCCACTAAGATGGGCTAAAGTATGTCCGCAACAGTGGGCCGTATCTTATTACTACCTCCGCCCCCTATGTTTGGGACAAGAGAAGGTGACACGGTTATTAATAAAGGTGGGTTTATGTGGTTGATATTGAATTGATACAGTACAAATAAAATAGGAATGATTTAGAACCACACAAACTTTACCAAATAAGGTATGAGACAATCTTAGTGGGACGGACCGAAATGGTAAAATGGGACAATCATAGCGGGACGGAGGGAGTAAATGATAATTAGGGCCCCGTACACAACACACTAAGCTACCTGGCCTGAGGCCGATCGTCTTTCTCGCTAAGTAGGAGATGAGAATACAAGTTATAAGCTAGAATGCTGGGGAGAATAAGTTGTGAACCCTTTACAATGAAATAAATGCTACTCCTTCCGTCTCATTTTACCTGCCCCACTTGCCTTTTTGGGTTGTCCCAAAATAAGTGTCTCTTTTCCTTTTTTTGGAAAGAAATATGTGGTCTACCACATTTCAGTTTATTATACTCAAACCTTATCCACAACTTTTACTTTTTCAACCACTTCATTAATAGTCGTGCCAAGTCAAACTAAGACACATAAAATAGGACGGAGGTAGTACTATTTATACTACCAAGGGGTAGGTACGCTGGCGTGGAGGGCTGTGAATGGCTAGGATCCCAATCATCAAATCTTTAGCATTAAATGCGCTTCCCGCCAGGATCTTGATTTCCCGCCAAGGTTTGGGGACGAGCATCCCCCTAGATCTTGGACCTTCTCTTAGATGCTGGATAAGGGGCAGAGGACGAATGCCTCCTATGTGTCATCTGGCTACGTATGTTGGAGCACGCTGGGCAGCCTTGATGGATACGGATTCTGAGGTTGTACGTCAGGTACATGGGACGTACCTCGAGGGTGCCTTGGGCTATTGTCGATAACTCTCCATGGTGGGCAAAGGAGCTGCAGACGTGCGTCTAGCGCTCCTTTTCTGTTGAGCCTTGAAGTCTCTCATCTAAGGGGATAATGGGTTGATCCCTGGTTGGGCCATTAACCCAACAACAGACTTTTTTTATATCTAACGTTTCATTAGAAGTATGAAGAAAGCGATGACTTTGACGTTCTCCAATGGTGGAAAGACAAAAAGGAATGTTTCCGATTTTATCGAAGATGGTGAAACAAGTGTTATCAATGTCGGTGTCAACAGCAGCCGTAGAACAAGAATTTAGCGAAGCCAACAACATCCTAACAAATTATAGAACGAGATTGAGCTCAAAATCTCTTGAGATGCTCATTTGCTTGCACAATTGGTTGAAGATCTGGCATAGAACTCAAGAGCTTTGCACCGCCAGTTCATGGAGGAAACAACAACCGACACTAGTGAAGATTTTGACGATTAGCAAATGTATTTAATGTTTTAAATTATCCTCAATTCTCAATTGTACTTCATATTTCAAATACATATACATTTAATTTTTAATGTGTAGCATTTGTTGAACAAATTAGGAATTTAAAAAAAACTAAACCCGACCCGAGACCAGATCGAGGCCTGACCGAGTACCCAAATCGGTACCGGGCCTGATTTTTTCAGAAAATCAGAACCGGACCCAACCCGAGTCCATGCCTAGTAGTAAAACAGCCCACAAGACAATGTTGGATGGCCCACAACTGGAATGTTGGATAACAAGTGGATGGCCCAAAGACACGATCACAACCCAGAAGTTGACTACCACACAAATATTTTAAAAGGCTAGACAATTCGAGGAACCTGCATGCCCTAAACTTGTTCACCACAAAAGGGTGAACGATCGACTGCTAGACCGTGGCACCGTGCAAACCCAATATTTGGCACTTGGTCTGAATTCCAAACTTGTTATTCGCAATTATAAATACCACTCCATTCTTTCCTTCTTTTTTTGGATAAAATGTAAATATAGGATGACATTATAACTTCGTTCTGAGCAGAATGGACCACGTTTTGATTTCGACATGACTTCGATGTTTCAGATTGCATTCATGATCTGGATACTAATTCTCACAATTTTTTTCTCATTCTACTCGTGTATTGTTCTTGTTTCTCTTGAACTCATTTTTTCTTTTGAAAGCTTTTTTCATGATCTGGCTATGTTTGGCACACAAAAGACTCTAGCTTCTAGCTTCTCTATTCTTTAAAAAGACCTTAAAAGACTCTAGTTGTATGTTTGGCATGACATTTTTTAAGAGCTTTTCAAAAATTAAAAGATCTTTTTGAGATGCTACCAGGTGTAGCATCTGAGAAAAGCTCGTGACTTTTAGTTTAAATTAGTCCTAACAGCTTGTATACCAAACCGAACTAAATCAAACAGTCAGCTTTTTACCAAACAGCTATCACCTTTTCTTTTTAAAATCTTTTCAGTCACTAAAAGCTAACAGTTACTAAAAAGCTCGTAAAAGTATCTTTTTAGCTAGTTGTGCCAAACATACCCATAGCCTCCCAAAAGAGAAGGTAATTAATTCATAAAAGAATAACATTATCTCAAAAGAGGAGGTAATTGGGAGAAGGGAAACGTCTTCTCTCTCTAGGTTACCTTCTCTTTTGGGAATAATAATATTCTTTTACGAGCTGCTCTTTTTGGGGGCTATTTTGTTAACTGCTGACAATGGTGAATAGAGTTGTTTGTCCATTCTTTATTACAGAGATGTATAAGTATGAACAATTCATATTTTAATTACAACACTAGGGACATTGGAAAACTACAAGTGTAACCCATAGTAACAAAAAACTTGATGAAAACAAAGTCGAAGAAAGAGTTGAATTTAGCTCATCCATCATTTTATGTTAATCAACATTCAACAACCCCAAGCTTGTTACTCTCCATTATATTAAAACAAACAATTTCAATGCGAGCCAGCTCACCAACTTAAGCCAAGCTGTAATCCAAGGGCCGCGTGGACAAGAAACAGAGTCATTATTCCACTGCCTAGAATGCTATGAGTATTTCTCAAACCCGGGTTACCCTAAACCGAACGCATAGCACAAGTAACTATTACAAAACACTAGCAAATGATAATGATAACGATAACGATAATGATTATAATCAAGCGAACATGTGCAAAACACAGAGAAAATTATACTTGATGCTTTCTAAAATGTAGATAAATTCAGATTCCATTTAAGGATGGACTGGGCTGGTTGGACCGACCTGATACCCAGCCATGACCCCTACAATGCGGTACCAGCCTGGCCTGGCCAATCGGGACCGGCTTGGGGCCCAAACCGGGGGTCAAATGGGACGGGCTTCGGGACCTTAGTTTAGTGGACAGGCCCGGCCAGTCGGGGCCCTTTTTTTTATAGTTTTCATGGCATTGGGCTGCTGCTAGGTGGGTTGGGTGTTTTGGCGGGGTTTGGGGGGTGGGGGTAGGAATAAATAAGAAAAACCAAGTTTAAAAAATAAACTAGACCCAACCTGGGCCACAATTGCCAAACCTCAGTCCTGCCCAAATCCTGGCCCGGTCCCGGTCCATGCCTAATTCCATAAAAGGGCACACTGACACTTCTCATCCTTCAATGCTAGAATACAGAATTTAATAAATCATCAAAAATAAAATAATTTACTGATTGCAAAATGCAAGAAGAATAAAAAATTATTTAAAAAAATAATCCGTAGTATATATACCAATGTATCATGTATATATGTATACACACGCACACACGTAAACTGGTAGACATGCATATGCATGAGTAATGTTCATGTCAGTCCGGACTGACCTGAACCGCCGCCCGGCTGACGCCATTTGAGGAACTTCCGGTGCATTTTTTTTATGAAGTTTTTTTAGCATGTTCTTCATGAAGTGTAGAACATTCACACAAAATTTCATTTTAAAATTCATCGGGAAATCAAATAAATAAATTGTTGAAAAACACTACGTTTTTATGCATATATTCAGGATAGCCCTCAAACAGACTTGACCAGACGGTGCTTCCGGACTGACCTGAATATTCCTCTCTGTCTCTACAATGAAAAAAGTACTTTATTAATAAAGAGAAAATTAGAAAGTACAAAACACGAAAGAACTAGTAAAAATAGAAGAAGAAAAAGAAAAACTAAAGCAAATAAAAACGAGATAAACAGAAATACCCAAGTAACCCAACCCACATGTACGCACACGCACCCATGCACGCACATGTACACGCACCCACCGCACACGTACACGCATCCACCCACGCACCCACCCCACACACATATTGACATGCTACAGTAGATCATCTTTGAAAAAATAAATTTTAAAATGATAAATTTTATAAAAACTTATATAGATTTTTCAAATTATAGATATAGAAATACAAAAAATATTCCATAATAAAAATGTCAAAATATATATAGAGTAAGTAATATTATCATTTTCAAATAAAAACCAAAATCGAAACATTCAAAAGATTCAATTAATTGTAAAAAAATATAAAATTAAAATGTAAAAACTTTAAAAAATGTAGGATATACAAATACTTTCTAAAGGGCAAACAATAAAGATTTTTACAGTCTTAGTGTTTTTTACAGTACTATTTTCTTTCAAACTTTTACATATTTTTAGCTTTTTACAAAATATAACTTGCTATAAAAGGTCAAAAATCAGTCAAATGGCCTTTGCATTTTTTGGACGTCCCAGCTAAAACTTGTCATTCTAATTTTAGAAAATGATTGACAAAGTTAAATACTCGTAACAAATTAACTATCAATTTTCTTGGGTCAAACAGTTTCATTTTATTCACTTAATTAGATTATCAAATTTTAATTATACTCTAATTTGGAGATGTGTAAATTTTAATTATTAAAAAATGAATGAATTATCAATAGGGAGGATTTAACTCTAATACAAATACTTTGGACTGACTGCAAATCAATTTTGGACTCAATTTAACTCATAAAAAATGTTGATTTTGCAAATCAATTTTGGACTGACTGCGACCGAGAGATTATTAAATCAGTACAACTATAAAATCTTAGTGATCATCAACGACCTCATTATGTTATATACCCATCAAAATTACTTCTGAGAATATGCTCGAATTATCTTATTTAATTATTGTCTACGTAAGTGTACCATTTTTGAATGAGAAGCTTATGTGGATATTTTTTAGTATCTAGTCCAGAACGAACCACGTAATGGGTGACCAAAAGTGTGACTTTATCATCCTTTAATTATAAATTAGAAACACTCAGTTTAAGACACTTGAGTCCACCTTCTAATCTGAGCAGAGGTTGAACTGAGTTAGAAGCCAATTCGCATAAATTTGACCATCATCATCATCATCATCATGAAAGGGACTAAGATGTTCGGTAAAAGGAGCATAAAAGGAAAAGGAAATGCAGCAGAAATCTTGAAACGCTGTGGAAGGTTTACCTACCTCAAAGAGTGCTGGTAATAGGGTCTGTATGGTGAGAAGAGCAAGGCCAAGAAAGGCAGTGACAGCATGAGGGCTTTGCGGGCAATTAATTAGGATGATGAATTAAAATGAGCACTAAGAGAGACGGGGGCAGGAATAAGGTAGGTACCTCTCAAGGATGGGTTTGTCTGAAGTGAGCAAAGAGATAATCCCTCCCGTGGCTCCAAGAGAAAAGAAGAAGAACATTCCAGCTAGGAGTTTAGGATGCAAGTCTTTGGCCTTGGCCCTTTCCTCCTACCCATCATCCAAAATCTCAATCAAATGAATGAATGAATGAGGAAATGCATTCGGAGAGTTTGCGTGTTCGTGTATATATTAACAAGAACTGAATGAATGAATGAATGAATGAATGAATAACCATGAAACCCATCCAATATGTAATTGCCATACCACATCATTTGAAGACCGAATTCGGAAACCCAGGTAAGTGCCATAACCACCCATGGCGATGAGCACAACAGCCTACGGAATAAGAACCATCCAACCATGCATTAGCAAATTCCCAATTACAGACAGGCCTAGCTTCGATTTTTTCCTGCTACATTTTCTACCAAATACTATCAAAGTTTACTCTCACCAAACAAAACAGGGCGGGGATTGAGCTATAGTCATACCATGTTCCCAGGATGACCCCAGTGCACGACCCATTCTGGAAGATTCCATGTTTTAACCAGCTCCACAAATGGCCCCAGCATAGATCTCACACTTCCATCTGAAATTTAATCATCATCAAATTCACCAAAATTATGGTAAACAAAAGCAAAGTCACCTCAATTAGTGACATAATTCAAATGAGGTACCAAATAAAGCCCATCCAATTATTTTCTTAGATTCACCTCAATCCAAACAAACCACAAGGGTTTCATCAACTGTACGTTAGAAATAAACACTCCTTTACCAACTTACACTCCTTCCCTCTTTTGAGTTAGTTTCCCCCCTATTTATCTATCGGATTCTATCCTTATACCAATAGTCAGGTATATTTATCTTTACATTAATGTAATTTTGAGACGGTCATATGAATGTCACCCTCTCTTTAAAATATAGATACATAGAGATAGATGGTTTCCGATGATAACTTATTCACCAACTACGGTATTAATCTCCAATGGAGGACCTAGGGGGGCCTACCGGGGCAAGTGCCCCGGCTTCCGGCCAAGAATTTCACTACTAGTACTTAGGGTAAAATAGGTGCCCCTGCTTCCGGTCAAAAATTTCACTACTACTATTTCGGGTAAAATTAGTGCCCCAACCCGTACAAAAAATTATTAGTATTAGATAATCAAGATACTAAAATGTTATGGGTATATAAATTAGGAACATGAGTTTGGATAACTTTGTAATTCGGACTAAGAGGTCTTTAACTCGAGGGGATAGTTCTTCGAACGTTCCTAATCAGTCTATCTCAAGTGATGCAAATGTTGTTGCTCCGAACGTAAGCATTTTCTGAGATGAGTCTAATGACACCTGGGGAGACAAAAGAGCCCGCACAGATAGTACGTGTGAGTGGGATATCATTAGCGATCCCACATTACGAAAGCCAATCATTGAGTATGAGCCTCGAGTAAGAGATGACGTGATGAGTGCGTATGTCGTTAAAGGTGCTTGTCAACCGTTGTCTCATGATTTTCCACGAACTTTATTTGGGGAAAAAATGAGATGTTTTCGAGCAGAGTGATTTAAAAATTGGGAATGGTTGGAATATAGTATTTTTAAAGATGCTGCATTTTGCTTTTGGTGTTACCTTTTCCATGGGGTAGAAGGGAAGCTATTTGGAGATGATGTATTTGTGAGGACCGGGTTTAGCTTGTCTTGATCCTAGAGATAAGTTCTCCAATTTCTGTGAGTCAAAGCTACTGAACCTCGTGAAATTATATTCATGCGTTTTTCATCTGTTGATCGAATGGAGCTGAAAGTGTAACACCGTCCCCAAGTATATTTACTTTTATGTAAATTATGTATTGAACCTTATGAAATGGTCAGTGAATTTACGGGGTTGAAAATTTTTGTTAATTCTTTTGCGTGAATAGTAAATTTCACGTGGGGCCCACACCGGCAGTGGGGACCACCCGATATTCCCAAGACCACATATTTTATTCATCTTGGTATATATAATAAGTTATATGGTAGTGGACATTCATGTTGCGCTATAAGAAAGGCATTGGGTTGACCGATTGGTCAAACGAGGCCCAATTACCAGTTTTGGTAATTTATCAGATAACAGTCCGAAATGGATTTCGGAGGCTTCTAAATTAAAGTTGGGGAAAGTATATTCATTATAAAGGTCCGTAATGATTTAGAACATACTATATATTTTATTTGACTTGATAAAATAAAATGTAATTAAAACAGTCCGAGAAATACAACTTTCGGGGCCAAATGTGCAATTCGGGACAGATTGGGATGACCTCCCACATGAGTAGGGGCCACCCCACGTTTTTTGTGCTGAGAATTTGATTTGGGGGCTGTGGAGCATGGGATGGATGTAAGAATAGATGGGTGAGACATGGTTGACAACCAAAGGGACCCTCCCATCACTCATTGGCACAATTTGGACAAAACAACTCCCAACCCTTTTCCCCTAACAATTATTTCGGCCAAGCACAAGGAAAGGAGATAAGAAGCTCTGCAGCACCATTACTCCATGGCCAATTTCAATCTCAAGGAGACAAGGTTCAAGAAAGAAGATTAAAGAGGGAAAAAGTGAGTAAAAGCTTGGATAATTAAGGTAATGACTCCATAACATCTTTTTCTCCTCTCTTTGAACTTCATATGACTTTTATATCATATGAAGTACCCCTAGTATTTTTCTACATGATATAAATGTGGGTTGGGGTTTAAGTCAAGATATTGACTATACTATTTTCCCAAATAAACAATGACCTACGGGTCAGGTATTTCCAAGGGTGTAGATATATTGATATGTATTTCATAACTTGGGGGAAAAAACTATATGTATATGTATCACCCTATGTTTGGGTCTTATACTTGAAACGTTAGTTATTCTACATTTAGCCTGCTACTCGCTCGGTACTTGTACTGACCCCTTCAGGGGGCCCCACCATTTCAGGTTGAAGTTCAAGCTTGCTATTCTCACCTTGCCCGGTGAAGTGATCTAAAGGAAGACGTGGTTCGTGCTTCCTTTCCTATTTAAAACTATAAACTATGCTCATGGATACTTTGTAATAAATACATTTGTTTTGGGCCTGCGAGCCCACGTTTTGGCCATGCGTGGCCCATGATTGAATATTGAATATTTCCGTTATTCGTTCAATCCAAATATGTGATGTTGTTATGTATGTTTACTTACTGAGTATGGTATGAACTATGTTCATGGACGCCTTGTATGATTACGTCACGTTGACTTGCGAGTGACGTCATTTAGTCATACGGCGGTTATACACACGCTTAGATGCGGTCTGGGGCGTGATAGAAAGAGTAACTCCAGGTGTGGATATATGAAATGAGAACAAATGAATTATTTTCTTCCGTACAGACTATTGGTGAAGTTTGCAAAAAGATGGTTGAACTTAAAGTTCACAATTCTTTTCACTTGGTATATCGTCTGATTGAGTTGACTTTAATATTATTAGTTGCAACAGCCACCGTTGAAAGAGCCTTCTCTGCGATGAATATTATCAAGACAGATCTTTGCAATAAGATGGGAGATGATTATCTTACAGATTTACCAACATTTTCAGAATATGAAAACTCGTAGGCTTGATTTACCAAAGTTGCAGAAATGAACTATATAATATGTAATTAACTACTCCGTATAATATCCAAGCATTTCAGCCCAGCTGGTTGCGAGGTTACCATGCCATGTGGGAGGTCTCGAGTTCGAATCCCGCTACGCACAAAAGGGTTTGAAACTCAATGGAGTCAGTTTCAGCCCTGATTACTCCAGACTCCCCCAGACCCCCTGGAGTAAAAAAAAACTACTCCGTATAATTTATGCTATTGCCTTACTTTTTACCATCTTTATTACATTTGAAAATTTTATTATAGAGTAAGTTTAGTGTCTAGTGTGCCCCTGCTTTGACAAATATCTGAGTCCGCCACTGTTAATCTCCCACTTTCAAATCTTTATACAACAATAAAAGCCTTGGACTATATCGGGCTATTGTCTGAAGCTCAACTTTGTTATCATTATTGTTATCCATGAATCTGAATTGTTAACTTATAGGATAATATGAAATTATCATAATTTTATAACATGGAGTAAAACAAAATAAGTATTTGATAGAATATATGGGCCTGGACCCCATGGCCCATATACTCAAGTCAACGATGGCCGGAAGAACATCCACGTGGCCCCCTTCGGCCCAGTGGGACCCGCATCGGCCACGAACCAAACCGGCCCAGAACATGAATCTGGACTCCCGGGACCGCGTCGGCCATGGGACCGCGTCGGCCAAAGTGCACCGCATCGGTCAGACTTCGTCCTGGCAGAATACATCTCTCTACTTTATTTACTAAATATTGTACCCAGCCCATTAGTGGCCCTATTTCACCCAAAGAAGGCATGATTACTGTAATGGGCCTCCTAAGCCCATGGCTAGGAGCCCAAATCCACATTTTTACCTATAAATAGACCCCTTGGGGCTAGTTATGGGGGGTTGAAAAATATAATTACTCACTTTCTCTCTCTAGCTCTCACTTCTCTCTAGAATTAATACTATATCATTTGGTGCTTTCATTGAGAGTTTGAGCAAAATCAAGTGACAAATCCTCCCAAAATACTCAAAAATTCATCCAAAATACAAGAAATCAGTCAAAAACAGTTCTGGAATTTTAGATCTCGAATCCCAGATCTGAGTCGAAGCCGTTGTCAGCGTCTATGTCGCCACCGTCACCATCTATATTGCTGCCGTCCATGCCGCCGTCGTACGCCATCTGTCAAAGCTCGCCGCACCTTTGAAGTTATTCACGTCGTTCCAGAGGAGTGGCATCGTCGCTCCAGACCTCATGTCTCATCCTTTCGCTGAATCTATTCGAAAGTGACCAGTTGGAAGGTTGCCGCAAACATCTCTGCTACCACCAGTTCATCACTCGCCACGCGCCGCCCTCACAGGTGTCATCGGCTCATCTCTATTGCCGCTCATAGCACCACCTTTCCGGTTGCCTGTCGCTCCTCCACGTCACCTGTTGCTGCTCGCGAGTCCACATCGCCATTGACGTGGCCTGAAGTATTACTGTTGAAGATTTGCCATGAATGGTGGTTTGGAATTCGTGAGAAGCAGATTGAGAGCTGCCTTCCGTCCTCGCCTCGTGTGCTTGCAAGGCGTGACTTCTTCCTGGTTCCGGTGATCTGCGTAGATGGTGGACGAGTCGGCGTCATGGGCTGGTCAGACGATGTGTCGAAGTGTGCGGCCAATTTCTAAAACAGCAACCAGATGTTATCCCTGATTTTGACCAAATCAGAGTGAGTGGACGAGGTCAACAATTTGAACCCTAGCAGCTCAAAGTCTCAACACACGGCCCAATTGAAAGCTAAGTATTTAAAACTACTTATATTTATTTATATTCAACAGTAAATTGATTTACAGAAAAAAACACATAAAATGAAATATTTTAATAATATAGCAAAACACTTCAATCTTGAGGGGCGAGTCATCCGTTAAAAGATCCCGAAAAGCGCGGACTGGCGGATTCGAACTACGAACTTGAGTGACGAGTTGAGCTAGATTATTAATTTATTATCATTACTTT